GGTTTTAATTGGTGCGTGGACTTTAATTATGCCACCCCCTCCCCTTGGAACACGGAACTCGAGAGCACCGGCGTTTCTTCGTTATGCCACACGGTGTTTGCGCCCAGTCTACGAGTCGCGACGATTCGTTAGCCCGCCTGAAAAGAGTTTCCCTGTTCACAGCGAATGCTAGACAAACAGTGGCCCAATTATCATCACCCCTCTGACGTTGAATACTTTCTTTCTTTTTTTTTTTAAAAAAAAAAAAAAAGAAAAAACGTATCTTTGTTGCTTTTGCGCTTCGTTCGAGATTATTCGTTTCCGGGAAAGCGACAGGCGTCGAGGCTCTGACTAACGCCGCCCACGCAACGGAATTTATTTTTAATTCGCCCGATAATTGGAGTGATTAAGACGTCGCAAAAATAGCCACACACGCGTTATATCGCCCATTTCTCATCCGCGGCTACTCGACTGCAGTTACAAATAGACGCGGTTGACCTTTGCTGGTCTGTTTCTCTCTCTCTCTCTTTCTTTCTCTTGCTTTACAAGCACACCGCTTTGAATAAAACTACGCCCGTAAAGCATAGTCTGTTTACCCTTTAATTGGCCCGACGACCTTAATTGCTTCGTAAATTCATGATTCCGCTCTTATCTGGCCTCGCGGATTGTCGGCTCTTATTGAATCAGGGGAACGATTAACGCGTCGAGCGCGAACTCGCTGGATTTTTTTTTCTCCTGGAACTCGCCGCGTCAAAGAAGCCGCTGGCTGGGTTCTGTGAAAACCTTTACGATGCACAATGTGATCTTGTATTCTTCGTTTTTATAAAAATTGTTCTGAACTTGAGGAAAACATTGAGAAAATCATGTACAGTTTCGGACAAATGTTTGATCATAAATCTATCTATTTAGTCGATTCACTCAGTCTACTACACAGCTTCAATTATCTCTTCCAGGGGTTAGCACGTGTTGTGCAGAGATCATTTGCGAGCATTAATCCGAGGATAATAGACTTCTTACTCTACTAAGTTAACCGACGTATCTAATTATTTGTATAACGAGGGAAGTGAACGGGCCACAAAAGCGAGGGGACTGAAGCCACAGCAAAGACCTGTCAGGATACACAAAGTTGTATAAATGACACCATCACTGTCACTTCATTAGTCTCAGTTAAAAAGGTGCACCGATGTGCAGGATTCTATACTCTTCTTACACAATTCTACGTGTCCAACGTACTCAAGTTTTTTTTCCTTTACAAACTCGAAAGAACTTTCGGAAGGGGAAATGCTCGGAAGATAATTAATCGATCGATTTTCCGATTTCGGAACATTAAACGGCAAAAATCGAAGAAAGACCGATGGGCCAAGTGGTCAACCTCGCTTCTCGACGTTCAGAAACGCGACGTTCACGATGTTCGTGTGTGGAACGGCCGTAACATTAATGACTCGTGGTGCAATAATCACCGCGTGCTTTCTCTGCACGTCCGTTAACAATGGGTTCTCGAGTGCGTGGAGAACACGCAAGGACGAGTCCACGCAGACGGTGAGAATTATTTAAATGAATCGCCGCCGCTAATTATTTCGGCATCCGCGGCGGTGGCGACTTTCGCGGGAGCTTGAAAGACAGCTTCGGGGGGCCCGAAGAAACGCTTGCTTTCAGCCGCCCGGTGAAAACTACTTGGCATAGTTTCGTCGTTAGCAAAAAAAGACCAGGCGATATTTCGAGGCCCCGCTTTCGGAGCGAACAAAGGTGTCTCGTAATTAACTCTTTCCGCGCTGGGATCTTTGCTACGCGTCTACAGAGCTTCACGTATGTACGTGAAACAGCCGCTAAGTGCCAGGCATCGGTTTCAGGGAAACTTTACTGACATACGCGGGTGTTCGAAGATGTAAGGTGGACGAAGATGTAACGTCGATCTTCACCGGACTAACACGGCTGAAATTCATTGTCAACCTTGCAATGTTTATGAAGTGAGGAGAAAGAGGGGGTCAGGACACCGGGGAAATAGTGTGAGCAGGTTAATGAAGGGCGAACAGACGTTCACGACGAAGAGCGAAATGGTCCGACGATGGTAGTGGGCGATGACGTTATTAGAGAACTGGGCCGCAAAATTTCATGAACATCGAGGTCTTCACGATTTCTCCGATGTATTTGATATTTTTGGAGTTCTGGAAATTTGGAGTTCCGCGAATCAGCGATGTCCCACGGCTCGTATAAGAGAGCAACAGATTGGAGATCACACTTGACGTTCTTTCGTGTCATTCGTTGAAAAGACGCGAATACCGATCTAGAACTAGGGAGCAAGAAGAACGAAATCACGAAGTCTGTGTAACGTAACCACCACTTTTCTTTGCCTAAATATTTATCGTTCGGTTTGTTATTAATTCTGAATCTTCCGTCGAGATTCGCAATTTTGCAGGCAGCACAGAACACGTCGGATAATAATAGACCGTAACAAGCGTATCGATAAACACTGTCCGAAACAAGCGAAAAAATATGCAACTTTCCAGTTTCCTCGAGAGCCAGAGGCTTTGAAACTCGATAGCCCAGGAATCGATCTGGCCGATGCTTGGAATGGAATCGGGAAACGTGCAACACCGATCGTACAGAGTCAAAGAGAGATGCTCATTAATTCGATCGAAACGAAGGAAAGAGGCAAGCTCGACGAGATCGGTCAAGCTGTAAAAGAGACATTTTTTCGTGTGACGCGTGTCGCACAGGGGACGGGAATTCGAGATAAGAACAAGAGTTCTCGTTAGCTTCGCTTTCTCCTTCGGTTCATTTTTTTTTGTTTTTATTTGCGAACCGCTCGATTTGCAAGCGCTCTGTTTACCCGCCGGCTCCACGAGTATTCGTCATCGTTTGGCCGCGGCCCAACTAAGCCAGCCACTGCCAAGGAATCCTGGCCAGATTCTCTTCGGATATTCTCGACTTTTTAACCCGTGGAATTTCCACCTCGCGACACCTCGTCTGTTTCCTTTTTCCCCCCTTCGATCCGATTGCTCCCTGGTCTCCTCTCTTTCTTTTTCTCGCGCCGTCCCGCGGGCCTGTCTCTTCTCGCTTCTTCGATCGGTCCAATTCACGCGAGAATCCTAAATCTTTCGGTAACGGTAAACTCTTCGCGGTGGGTGAACAACGTTTTACACGTTACGGAAGCACGGTTGCGCGGGAATTCGTAAAAGTGCGAAACGACGTCCCGTTACGCGAGCAACTCCCAGGCAAATTAAAAATGGATACCAGCACGGGACGATCTCGACACCTCATATTCGCCTCCTTTCGAATCGATTCGAGGATTCAGGGTTTCTTCGTGTATAGTTCGAGGTATAGCTGCTTCAAAGATATAGCGTTAGCCATAAACCTGACCGACCCTAAAGTTTATGTGTTTCGGTAGCCTAATCCTGTCACTCGATACTTAAACAAGTTCTTATAGCGTACTAATTTCAGATTTAAAATACTTCTGGCCCTTTTATTCTTGATGGAAACTTACGAAAACGTACATTTCTTTTAAATCTTCCAGTCTTTTTCGTTTTATTCCTTGAAAATAATCACCGTCTTCTCAATTATACTACAGCCTTCGTATAACTGTGCATACACGCGAAATGCAAAGGTAAATTGTTTACGCGAGTGAATGAAAGTTTCACGTAATCACCAGCTTCAGTAAGAACGCGATCCATTGAGACACAATGCATCCTGTCATAGCATTTGATTCCAATATCAACGAAACACCGCTGCTGCGAGTTCTGAATCGTCCTCGTTTGAGTAGCGTGCAGCACCGCGCTCGCTACACGTCTCGTTTCATTAATGACAGTCTCCTAGCCGTGTGAATTGGTGTGGCGTTCTCTCACGCGGCCGTTCGAAGCTGTGAAAACGCGGGCACCGGGTATCGTCGTCGCGATCGGGACTACCACGAGCACAGGATGACGTCTCGCTTATTCGCCGTTCAACGGGAACGGTTAATTACACCGTAATCCGCGTGCAGAGATAATTTTCCCGTTCGACGATGAAAACGTTTGCGGCGGTCCAGATACGAGAAAGTGAAGTCTGCCCCGTCACGGAGAACTCGATCGGGCACACGCGATCCACGCGCGGCTATCTGCTCTCTCGGTCACCTTGTTGGTTTTATGAAAACTATCAATTAGAACACCGTGGGCGATGCTCACCTGTCCCGGCGCGATATCGCGAACCGTTTGATTATCATTTTGTTCCCCATCCTGTCCGAGACGGTTTCTTCTTCGACACTGATGCTGTACTTTCTAATAACGTTCTTCTTTTTTTTTTTTCACGCGATACGAAACGAGCTTGACCCTTTTTATTCTTGTAGCGTCATCGACCACGCGAGTGTTTCAGGATGTTGAGGCGCCGTTTCGATCATCGGTGCTGTTTCATTTTTATATTGTCGGGAATAAACTGGAAATCGTATCATCGTTTGTTTGTTGAAGTATGCTTGTTTTAGTAATAATAAAACGTCCTTAAAAAAATCCACAGTAATACAGGATGACCATGCATGAGTTAATGTTTTAATCGACTCTAAATGCATAAACTTCACACTCAGAGGGATTTTTAATTTTCTTTTAGTTTATGTAATACCGATTGCTATCGCATAAGTGTCGAACGTACTTGTTAGTTGCGAATTCTGTCTCTGTATTTACTCGTCGGTATTTCCACCATTTCTCACGGCTACTCGCACACTGAGGAACCCAAAGATAGGGTAAATGTCCCAATTACTACCAGTCCGTAGCGTTTCATAAACACATATTAAACGCTAGTACGGTCTCTAGTACCTAATCTACTCTTCACAAAATCAATAATAATTAGCGTCCCTAATTCTTAGAGATATTCAGCATCATGAAACTCCAAGGTTGATAAATCGATCTTTCATATTTCGTAACGAATAATCGCGAGATTCATCAGAAACCGCTTACGCGTTTCGACAGAAATAAAATCTGTAGCGAGGTTCGCATCGCGAGCACCGTGGCGAATGTGGCAAGAAATCACGCTGAACATCTGTCTAATCCTGTTTCCAGGTTACCCACAAAGTGACGAGTCAGGTGATGGTGCTGAAGATGAACCAGCTGCCGGCAAACAGGCCGAACATGCTGAAGGAGGTTCAGCTGATGAACAAGCTCAGCCATCCGAATATACTCAGGTGAGTCGAAACTCCAGGATCCGGTCCACTTTTACGGTAGAGAAACTCGCCGTCGATCGTAGGAAATCGCCACCGCGGTGGTGCACACGCCGAATTTAATCGTCTTTTTGTTTTTGTTTAATACTATGAGTGGGGTAGACCGTTCCTGAGGACATGACGTTTGTCCTCTAACCGGTAGCGCATGGGTACTAGTGGTGGTACTTACCTGCGACCAAATAAACAATTTTAATCGTCATTATACATATAGGGGAACATTTTCAAAAACCCAGTACAGACTCCTCTCGATTATCGTCCGGCTTGTTCTACACGATTATTGCCGAGGCATTATTCCCACCACTAGGGAAGGGGCGTGGAACCTGTCAAGTGCATACATTGTTGAGAAAAAACGAATTTACCAAGGTCTCAAAGCATTTCTCCCTGCAAGATTATTGTCCCAGCGCGGATCCGAGTTCAGGACAATAATCGAGAAAAGTCTGTACATGAAACAACTCGTGTCTGAGAGCATGATAGGTAGCCAAGCAGCCCTGGAACAAGGGCACGCCCAAGAGAGAAATTCTGTGAGAAGAGGGGGAAGCTTAGACAACTAATATTGAAATGACAATAGCAGTTATAGTGAATTGTTTATGTGCAAAACGAGAGTTGCCGATTTAAGTTGGAAGAGGTAAACGACCAGCACACGCCGAATTTACTCGTCCGTCCTTGAAACCATCCTCCACCGGATTAACGAACCGCGGAGGGGGCTTACCGGACGTGCGGGAACTCACGTGGATCGCGGGCTTTCTTCTGCAGGCTTTTCAATTAAAACCGGAGCAGGAGCCCGTTGTGTTGTTGTCGGGCATCGCGGATGGAAATAGAAGTGTCCGTTCGAAATGGAATCGCGACGCAGAGTCAGGAGGGTCGGGTTATCGGTAATACGAAACGATCGTCGAACCGTCGACTCGTCTGCGCCCGCTATAGCCATTTCAGTTTTATCAAATAACCGCACGACGTCCACCAGTCCAGGGGAATATTGGATCGAGGTAAATGGAATTGATCGAACCTGGATGGGGTCGATCGATACCGTAATATTGTCGAGTAATGGACAGGCCGAGGACTTGGATTCGAGTTCCACTTATACTTCCCCCCCATTCGAGCAAAATAAAACGTCGAATGAGGCGAGTCACTCCGTGTTTCGCAGTAAATGCGTAAAATCCAGTTGTTTAATGGTTACAAATCGTTGAGTTCGACGCGAGAGGAATCTTCGCACGAAGTTTCTACAACCTGAATCGTCTTAACGATTCGCGTGCAAGCAAATGGAGGCTCGTGACGGAAGCTTATTCGATATCTCCTGATAGGTTCGCAGGCGACATCGTGAAAACTTGTACCATTACCGTTTCACCGTTTGAATTTCACGGTTATAATAATATCGACCGATCGGATAGAGAGTATGGAATAAAACGCACGGTGGCGTCGTGCAAGAACAGGCCAGGGGAACAGGTTCCTGGCGTGCGGATCCTTCACACGAAAACGGAATGTTCGCCACGGTTGACGCAACTGGTCCGAGCCGGTTGCGAGGCTAATGCCAAAAGAGTTCCGTGGTTTGCGAGTTACGAGTTATGACATAATGCCGAGGCGCGCAACGGCCCGGCTGTGTCCGAGACTAGACGCTGCGCGTCGAGTCGCATCCGCGGCGACAACGCATTCCGACGATATAAACGGCTTGGCCCAGATTCACCGGTGCGTGCGCGTGTTTATCCCGCGCGGCTAGCGGATCTTATTTCTGGCATTTCTCTCGTTGAAGGCTGCGAAAACCGCGGACAACCACGCCGGGACGCGTCCTCTTCGCGCTCGACTGACTCACATAGCAAATCGGAGGGGATAAAAAATAGGATCCATCCATCGACCGTTCGCTGGATACGAGAGCGCACCGATGGATTTCGTAACTCTTGGAACGAATCCCCGCGCCAGGTGTGCCCGAGCCGTTTCTGCGAATACGGATGAATGAAAACGGTCGATACTCTTTTCAAGTATACCGCCAGTTCCGTCGATATAACTGGCGATTTACCAGGAATCATATCAATTTATCAACCTTAAACTTTCAAGTATACCGCCAGTTCCGTCGATATAACTGGCGATTTACCAGGAATCATATCAATTTATCGCTCCCCTTCACCTCTCCCTTTCCTTGAGTTTTGACTAGAACTGGGAAATCTGGACGGTTAAATTAGGGTGTGTGTAGGATTTGTGGAATTCTGATTACTCGAGTGACTCGATGGTTGCTCGATTTAAGCCTGACGAAGATTTCGGATTTGATCAAATTTTGTTTGAACCGACACGACAGTGTCTGGATCGTTTATTGCGAGGTTTGAATGTTTATGTGCATGATCGATTTCGGTTCCATTATCCAGATTACTCAATTATCTAGACACTCAATTATATGGAAGCTGATACGTTATTTATGACCGTTAGAATTAATGCATTTCGAGCAGGTGAAATTGAATAGAATACACGAAAATGATGAGGTTAATGACATTTAAATGGAATTTCATTTTCTTGATTGCCTAATAAAATTATTCATCGATTTCCTATCTAATTCCCGTCTTTCTGAATTAGTCGATTAAAATGTAAATTTGCATTAATGGCCGTGGTATAGTAAACATACTGTTCAGCAGTTGTAAAATTAGACTCTTTACCGTGCAACGGTTATAGGTACATATTACGTCTCAGAATTGTATTCGCTCAAGTGTTTTGTCGCCGCTTATCTCCCGACGTCCTACCTATCGATACTATGCGGGAAGTATAATCGTGATACGATAATATTTATTGTTTGTCCCGGTGAGAATTGCGTGATCTTATCTCGAGCAGTTAAGACGCGACGACGTTGAGACGCGTTGTTTCGCCGAGACGTTAACCACACGGTTCTTTCGCGATTAAAACGATGGCTGGTTCTCTAACTGTTCCACCGACAAACATAGGGCACGAAAAAAACCGTAACCTAAATGACTCCATTACGCAATACTTATGCATATAATGAAGAAAAGAAATCTCTCGAATCTAAAGGCTGTTAAACATATGAATAGCCTTTCAAAATATTTTCAAAAATTCATAAATAGATTTTATCCGGTGCTCGAACTCGAAGCCATTGTCAAGCGCAAAGTTAAACGATGAATTGCGCAACTACAATGCCCAATTGTCCTTTAAGGAAACGTTTCCTTCCCCTTTAAAAGAACAGGTGTTTTGTCCCTGACTCGTTAGGTGACTCATCGAGCAAGGTTTTTCCAATAGGATTCTGCCTCAATCTTAATTACACGTTCGTACAGTTTCCTACATAGAGGGTGACTCAACAATGACACCCGAAAAGAGTCATAATACGCTCGAGCCTTACCAATAGATATGCAAATCGTTCGTTTTATAAAATACAGAAGCTTCGTACCAGCACCCGCCTATTTTCATCGAATCATCCTGTACGGAAAGTGAATCTCAAAGTCTTCGTTTCTCAAGTATCGTTAAATATTACATTTTTATTATGTTCCCCGATGAGAATTACACCGTGATCGTTTTCATGCGTCGGAACACGCGTTGGTGTGTTTGATCTCTTGGCCCGAATTGTCTCCGGTAACATGATTCGCGGGGATCGCGTGCGAATTTCACGGTGTTGAGAGTCGCACGATCGCAGACAAACGGCCACGGGAGTTTCTGATCGTTCCATTCAACGTGTTCGCGATAAACCGGAATTGACCGGCAATTCATCGCGGAACGCGTTCGCGGCCAGATATTAAGATATCGTCTGAATCGTTGACGTCCGGTCGTTGTTACGATAAATTCGATCCCAGGCTCCGATAACGTCCTGCGAACTTTTGCGTGGCAGGGGCCTGACGTAACGCGAAAATCATCGCCTTTGCATCGTTCTCGCGTCAGGGAATTTCGTTTTTTTCTTATTTATTTGATCGGCGACCGCGTCTCAAAATTTTGTTGTGTGTATATATTTCGTTCTAATAAACAATCTGTATTAATTTCATTTAATTATCTAGTCTTTCGAATTTGGCACGAACTACCTTAATTAGTTCACTTCTCGGTAAAATTTAATCGGCGTTTGCGCGCGTTAAGCACGTCTGTTTAGCTCGTCGATCTTTCGGACCGCATGAATGGCGAAGAAGCTGAATTAACTTTCTCAGAGACTGTTTCACGGACGCGGAATCTAGGGTATATTGTTCACTTTTAATGATGTTACTAGGGAAAAGTGTTCAATAATAACCTAACCGAGCTACAGCTGGCTACAAAAGTATGTATCTAGCTGAGTATGAATGTAATGTTGTCGTGCCCAATTACGTGTTTCGAATTTGATATTGGAGAATACAGTTTGTTCATTTAGTGTCTCCTGAATTCGAAGTATGATGAATTGACGCGCGTTGTGACTCAAGCGAAGATATGATACTGTAGGCGTTCTGTTCTTCTTTTCGTATTTAACCGCAATCAGTAATATTACGTGCACTTATCACCCCGAAGATTTGAAATATCGGTACTATTTGGATCACCCTATGTCTTAGAAATTGTCTGTAGATATTGGGAATAGAAAAATTGAAAACCGTTCAGCGAATAATGAATGGAGAAACAGGGAAACACTCCGATCCAGCCCTGACCCTCTTTTCATTCTTCCGAGATAACACACCCCAGTCTCGTAAATCATCGATGATCCCTGACGAACCACTCAGATAAAACAGTGTCAAGAATCGGATACTTAACAAATGAAGACACAGCGGTTACCAATAAGTCCGTCGCTAATTGGCGCTTATCGCGACACCGAGGGTATATATCTCGGCAAGAGAACGACACTTCGGTAATGAATCGAACAAACGATCTTCAATTTTACCCCATATACTCGAAGCCACCTGCGGAGTTACCTAATCTCCGTCTAGAATCGCTGAGTCAAGAGACCAGGTTTTCCTATGTAACGCTGATCCTATCGGGCCCTGTGAAGCTAAAGTGATAAACCTCTTGCAATTACTCGCCTCTGCTGACACCGCGCAGATGAATGGCTAGATAAATCGTCCGTCGCTGTATTACAAGCAATCGAATGTATAACCATTGTCGACTCGAAGAGGAATTCTTCGTTGGTCGTAGTCTTCCAATTATCAAAGTAAGTATCGTCATTAGCTACCAACAAACGGAATAATTTACACAGCCCTGTATTCTGCCATATCGATAAGTCTAGGTTTCTAAAGGGTTTATGGAAGGTTCCCACTGTTTCAAAAAGGAAATCACCGTTTGTGAATATGTATTCAGACGAATCGATAGGCATGGTCCATCGGGGAAACTAGACCAGCGTCGCAATCGAGCGGCACCTGATCAGGCCAATTGAATCCCTTAACAAGAGGAGAACACGGTTCGAGCGAGAAAGGTCCTCCGTCGTCTTTAGCGAGTTCGAATTTTCCGGTTGCTCGATTCTCACAGGGGATCGAACGGTCTTCCGTGCGATGAACGACTGAAGCTTCGTTAAAGACTTGGCTGTCGATAGAGCAGCGTGCCAAATCGATACGAATCCCCTTAATCGTCTTACCCTCGCCGCGGACTCGCAGAAATAAACTGCGACGATGCGCTGTGGAATCCCCGAACAAAACTACCTAGCGTTCACCGGGGGGATGGCTAATTATTCGAAGCACCATCCGCGAGCAATGTCAACTGTACTTTCGCGTCGAATTAGCCCGACTGCGCTGATTTCTTTTCTTCCGCGGCGGCGTCATTATCGTTCACCGTGGAAATTACTGCGCTAAAACGAGCGAATTAGTTACTCGTCGAGCACGAAATTAGCGAACCGATGCTAACAAGGTTGACAGGAGTATAAGAGCGCACGAAGTCGGTAAACACGTTTATGGAAATGTGTTAAATGGTAAAAAATGTCCGTTTTGAGATGTCGGGGAAGGTCACCTTAGTGTCTTTGAACGAACCATTGAAGTAGAAAATACACTAAATTTATTTCCTTTATATTTCCAATAATTCACTTTTACAAGCATTCGCGTAAACGACAAAAAAATATCTAATAATAATATCTCTGAAACTTATGCACCGATGAACAACGAAACAAGAGCAGCCATCGTTCCCTTCGATGTCACACGTTTTGACGCATTTCTCTGCACATATGCAACTGAACGCGAGTAAACGTCAATTCTCCGCGACAAGGCTATTTATAGCCAGTCAATTTAATTCGTTGCGAAACAACGAATTCCCCCGCGAAGCGTCGCGGCTATTCCGCGCATGCACTCTGCAGGGATATTGTCAGAAACGTCGTCGCCGTGATCGTTCGATCCAAACCAGAGGGGCGCAAAAATATCTTGGCCGGCTCGCGTATTGTCCGGCTTTCAGTGGCTCGGACAATGAGAAACAATCGTTGACCCGGGCCGATGCTTCGTGTCGCAGATTTCCTCTCTTTTTTTTCCCCTTTTATTCGGCGTCCTTTTGTTCGTTGACTCGTGCCGGTTGGCATTCTGGGTCGAAGACCTTCGAGTCCTGCGCTGTCCTCGGCCGGAACACGAAGGTCGCAGGCCTTTATTGGGAAAGATGAGTAACGAGCGAAACAACTTCGCGCTTCGTGCGCGGATTGGCAAGGTACCCCCCCCCCCCCCCCCCCCCCCCCCCCCTCGTGCCAGAAAACGTCACCTTTATCGTGTCGACGTGTTTGGTTCTTTGATCTCATCATGGAAGGACGGCCGAACCTGGCAACGACGCTCGATCGTCGATCGGTCCGGTCTGCTTCGTGATAATTATACGCGAGAATATTCTAGGTGTTTTCTGATGTATGCGAGATCTCACACATGAATCTATTTTACTCGTTGTATCGATAAAAACGAATACGGTCTTTCTTTGGTGAACATTAGGATATACATTACCAGCCGTAAGTATGTGGCCAGAGTTCATGATTGATGAAACAGTAATTAAACAAAAGTTAGGGAATCAGTACACACGCAAATCATTTCCAATCAGTTTCAGTAATCTTCGTAGAATAATATTTTTCTCTGTAATCATCGGACCTGGTCCCATACTTTCGGCCACTAGAGTACATTCTGATTAGAAAAAATGTGTTTTATGTTTTCGACAGTTTCGCTAATTATGTAACGATTTGTAACCAAATTTTTGAATGGGTAGCAAAGCACCGATTCACTTACATAATCCGTTATGCGTGGGGTAAAGTGTGTAAGTCTGTATATGTATATAGGATGCCCCACATGAAGCGGTCTAAACTATATTCGTGGAAACTGTCACTAATTTACTTATGTAACTTCGACACTTTACATTGCGTCGAATTCTGAAAAAGAAATGAGTTCCACTGCCACCAGTAACAGTTCTGAAAAACGACGACGCGTTTTTTACGAGACACTATACAAGATTCGTAACCTTGTGCGCACCAAATAGCGAGTCACTGCACGAACAGAGATTACATTATTCCCTCGGCAGAATGATTGGAGTGTCCTCCCGAAGTTTGATCCAAGAACACACCGTAGAGGTCGAGTAATTAGAGTAATAATCAGTGTCACCGGGTGTAGTTAGCACGGCAAGATTTTCAAGATTTATTCCTTTAAAGGACATCCAAACCTCTTGCCCCCTAATTACGGGACCCGTCGCAACCAGCACCGTAATCGGGTCCCGGGAATCGGGGCTAGGAAGGAATGCAGAAGAGTCTTGCAACCCGTAACCGAGAACGGTAATTAGAATAATAACGACAGCGTTGATAATTATACATCGTGGCAGTTGCGATTCTGCCTCAGGGGGGAGGTTAGAGCATAATAGAATAAACTTCTTTCCAGCCGGTGGAAGCGGGTTGCATAAGTATATACGGCTTTCCGTCCTTTTTGCTCCGAGCGTGGTTCCCGCGATTCTCAAGCGAACGTTCACTTGGTTGCTCCGCAGGTTCATGGGAGTTTGCGTGCACGAGGGTCAGTTGCACGCCCTGACCGAGTACATAAACGGCGGTAGCCTGGAGCAGCTGATCATGGCGAGGCACACGCCGCTTCCGCACCTGATCCGGATGAATCTGGCGAGGGACGTGTCGCGAGGGATGACCTATCTGCACAGCCGTGGTCTTTTTCATCGGGATCTTACCTCGAAGAACGTTCTGATCAAGAAGGACGAGCACACGTCGGAGCTGACCGCTGTGGTGGGCGATTTCGGGCTGGCAGCGAAGATTCCGGATCCTAGCTCCGGGTACCGGCTAAGCACCGTCGGAAGTCCCTATTGGATGTCCCCGGAATGCTTGAAGGGTCAATGGTACGACAACAGGTCAGACGTTTTCTCGTTCGGCATCGTGGTCTGCGAACTGATCGGCCGCGTGCCGGCTGATCCGGACGTTCTGCCACGGTCAGATAACTTTGGCCTCGATTACCTGGCCGTAGCGGAGATCTGCGCTGCGGCTAATCCGCCGACGGACTTCCTGCATCTCGCATTCAACTGTTGCACGGTGAGTCGGATGGAACTTTTTCGATGGTATATATTCGTGTGTAGGCGGACTGTGAGCTGTACGGTTTGGTCGTTGCTTGATTCATTCACGCTTTGATTAATTCCGTACATGTTGTCATGAGAATACAAGTTTTGATTTTAGAAGGTGTCTGGGAGGATGATGATTACGCTTGGATCGTTTTAAGTGGAGTAAGGAAGGTCCCGCTAGCTTAAAATGTTCTTTATGGCAGCCTTTGCGGAGTCTTATATTCGGTAATACTAGTCATAATGAAGAAATGACAGAGGTATCTTTGTAGTATACACTGAAATTTCGAGAAGACATGGTTCTCCGGGTTCAAGAAACTGTCAAATAGTTACATATACTTGTCTGTATATAGGACAAATTTTTCTGCCAGTTTCGTAGCGCTTTTAGCTTTTGTACGTTTAGGTGGCTTCCTGCAAGAAGGCGATGTATTTCGAGACATTCCGTATAAACGAGTTATCTCGGGTTTAGTAAGATATGATGAAAATAGAGTGTCATATGTTACATTAAATACTGTCACGATCTCAACTTTTCTGGCAGTCGAGTGGATCTAGTTGTCGCAACAATACTGCATAATCCCGCATATATTGCGTCAGAAAATTGTAAAACGATACATACCTTGAAACCGATGATCACTTTAAAGGTTCGAAGCCACTGAACTTACGATAATCTTCCAAAATTACATAACCGTTCGCGAAACGAAGAGGGACATTATTTAGGCGTCGCTGCTTTTCTCAGTTATACGTTTAAAAGGGAACATTGGCAACTGTCAGAATTGTTTCGAGATGTATCATCGTTTATAGTATTGTGTAGACGTTGTGAAATGGAAACTGAGGTCACCTCTTGAAACCAATTTTACATTTTCTAGATAGAAGTTGAGTGAAGTTTATCTGCTCGGTTACCAGATGTATACTTGGAGGCAATGACGTTCAATTTAAGCTCCAGAGCTTAGGCTCATTCCCCCCTCTTTCCCATTAGCACTGTACAAGTCGTGCGCTGCTGTCACGCTAGCCGATGCGGACGTCTGTCACTTGTTTCACCTATCATAGAAGAACTCTGCACAGTGTAGGCTGTCGTAATGCCCAGTGCTTAAGGACCTTCTTTTCTCCAGGCATGTCCAACTAAGCGCTCGCGAATAAAAGCGCTCTTCGCAGCCCGTGAGCAGCGCTAGAATCAAGCTAAAGCTATGGAAGAGTGCGAGGAAATTATTCTAGCTTCCGTGAGGTTTGTTAAGCGGGCCTGATCCGTAGCTTACATTCATAGACTACTTTTCCATAAGACTGTTGTTCTTGGAAATATGGCTTATCTTCTGGTTAGCTCTCCTTCGTTTTTTCCTCGCCGAACGACTTTGATCTTTGTCTGTTCCACTACATTTGATTCTGCGTTCAAATAGTACAAATGAATGAACCCAATCGTTAAAAGGAGATCACATCGGTTTCAGTATGAGCCAAAGTCCAGGCCCACCTTTCCTGAGATCACTACCAGGCTGGACAGCATGATCGCCAACTACGAGGAGGAGCCGAAGAACAGTATCGGGCAACGTCCTTCCGTGGACCCGACGCTGATGTCGAGCATGGACGAGATCACGCGAGAGGGACGACCCGCCAAGCGAAAGACTGCTCGTCTTCGTAGCCAGTCGGCGGACGCGCGAGGCTGCGTCAACGCGACGCCCTCCGACAAGGCAAGATGTCATTCGGCGAGGAGGGTCGCGGAGCTCGCGAGCAGACGGGACCCGCATTACAGACCCATGACGGCTAATCCGTTCCACGCGCTCGGCGGCGTCAAGAAAATCCTCGGCGACCTGTTCTCCAGCTGCCTGGAGCTTCCGTCGCTGGAAGATGTCAGACCGAGCGTCACCGATGGTATCGCCAAGTTCAAGCCCGCGCAGAACGACAGTATCGCGAAGATCTTGGACAGGAAGAAGCCGAACTCCGAGCCGAGCAGCCCAACCGCCAGGAAGAAGTGGGAGAGAAAGGTGAGGAATACGGATCGATTGACGGTTTTGGCGGTAATCGCCTGTGGAACTGGAGATTACTACCGGTATTAGCTGGTAATACGTGCAAAAGGGTTGGGTCTTTTTTTCGGGTACGCATGTGGGTGCACGTGGGACCATTAAATGCGGAATGCCCTGGTAATCGTGGCATCAATCGGAGAGGTGTGATTTCTTGTAAAAGAGTAGGTCGAAAGTATACATTACAATTTGTTCATATAAGCCCGCGTTTTAGCCCTATTTCTAGGATTCAGGTTCAGTCTATATTTTCAACTTGTCACGATTACTAAGACAGCTTGTATATCTACATATATTAGATTATCTAGTCTAAGTAATTCAGACATGCACTTGAGGCAAAGTGTATTGGTTGCTGAAAGGCATAGTGACTGGTCAGCATGATTGCATACAACCTTCTCTATTTTCGGGAATCTACTTGAACGAATCTAACACCACTGACTATCAAAATGAGCTCCAGCCTCGATATATTGCTCGCCGAGGATGCTATACTTGAAAATCGAGAGCACGAACCTACTAACACTCAACCTCTCTTTAACATAGATGCCAGCTGGCATGTGGTAATAGTGGGACTTGTGCCCGGTTCACGGTCAAGGAAATGACCTCGACCAGCCAATACTTTCAGCCTCGAGTATACCAGAACGATTGCGTAATGGTAGAGTCAATAAAACAAAAGAACAAAGAGGCAACCGGTGTAACAGTGTATGTATTTTTCCAGGTGGCTACAAAAGTGGGCGCCGCGAGCCTGTTCACTCATCCTCTGTTCCGGGACGGATGGGAGCCGAGAAGGCGCGGTAGCTGCGAGTCCGGGTTCTGGAGTTGCGTCGGCGAGGATCTCAGCCCTGAACCGCCTAATCGCCGGCACACCTCCACCCTCAGTAGCTCGGCTGCTTTCCTGCTGGACGATCATCGGACCAGCTCGATATATACCGACTCGTCCGAGGATATAGCGAGTTTAGGCGGCGGGGACTCCTGTTGGGAGGATAGGTTAAGCGGGATCGGGTCTTCCAGTAAAACCATTTCAAAGATCGTCGAGTACTTCGAGAGAAAGCAAGCCGGGAGCTTGAGGCTCGTCGATCATGATCCCGGATCCAATAGGTTGACTCTGTTGAGAGCGAGCTTAGAGGGTCCTGTTCCTCTGTGCAGCATCTCCGCTGCGCAGAGGTTGGTCGTGTGCGAGGGTGCGGTGCGCAGCAAGTTGCCTCTGTTTGACAAGAAGTGATAAGTGTCGCTTGCGCCTCGTAGAATTCGTTCCTTAGGGTCTCTTGGTTTTCTGTCGTTATTAACGATCCGCGCGACCCATAGCGCGGTACCGCCTCCACAGAACGATGCTTCAACGTCGGTTGTACCGTGAAATAAACGATGACGATATATCGATGCGGCGAGAATCTCATAAAGCAATAGCCACATCCCCGGTAACCTGGCTAGGTTTGCCAAGGAATGCCGCGTCGAACGAGCCCGCAGTACGTGAAAGGACTGAAAGTAAACGGAACCGAAAAACGACTATATTTTCATCGGACTTGATGATTGACTAGATTTCGAAACAGATTCAGACCTAACAGCTCGGTCGAAAATTCCCCTGTAGAAAATAATATTCAGCTTAGGTTCTATGAAAATATAGTCACCCACGACTTAGCAGACGCTTCTCTCTAAAATCTAGTAACCTGACTGTGATGTTTTTTGATAATCTACATACATTATTGATCCGTGCGACTAAGTTCGTTGAAGTCGTCGGCGCAGCTCGTCGTTTCACGCGTTGCGGTCGTTCGACGTTTCTCGTACACTGAATGAATTTCGTTTGTACTTGTCGCAGTCGAATACACGAGCAGTTGAACAGAATTCTGTCACGTTAGATATGCCAGAGTAAAAAAAGAAATAACATGTCAATAGTATTCCTACATATGGAAAAAAACTGGAACGTTTTTTACGTTAGTTCAGGATAATTAACATTGTATCGAGGCCAACGTATGCCCCGAAGGTGTACAGTTTTCAAGAAAGAGAGAAATACTGAACGTTCCACGGGAATCGACGAAAGCAGTATAGAATTTCGTTTCGAGACTGCGGCAATCGGATGCCAGTAGAAACGCTGCTCATAAATCTTACCGTTCGCAGTGCCTCGCAGTTCCTAGTTAGCCACCTCCGTCCTTACCCATGTCAACCGACTTTTTACCGATCACTGTGATGACGATAGAAATCGAGATACGAATTTACCAATTTTACTCCGATACGTTGTTCACGGCTTCTGTGCGTTACGTTGCCCCTAGTGGTCTCCTCTTACACTTGGTTCACCTTTCTATACACCACTGATTTTGGCGCCGAATATTCAACACGGAGAACATTGTTTGATGCGTTACTGTTGAGCTAGAGACGAAGAGGTCGAAGCAGGCACATGAGAACTACGTTGATACACAAGAGAAAACGGCAGTGCTTGGATAAGAGGAGTATTGATTTGATTTCAAATTATTAAAATGAAGAGAGTCCAAGATGAATGGGACGATCGTGATATCATTGAGTAAGTTGTATTTATAGTGCTAAAATTGTATCTACAGAAAATTGACATAGGTTAATTAACACTGATAAAACGAGTGAAGAAGGTCTATGATCTTTTTCTGAAGTGAATATTTATAGGAAAAAATGCAGTGCCTTATTAGAATGTCGCACGATATCCTTGACCTTACACGCGATGTCATTCCCCAACGTTCCGAATTTAGACCTCCTAGGCGTCGATAATCATGCAATATACAAAAAAGGAATTTTATTTTTAGCTATAAATATTCATTTTACAAAAAAACATTTCAGGACTTTCTCATTCCATTTATCAAGATCCATAAACCATCGTGAACGTTTCCACTTACACAGCAATCTAAGAATTTTAACCTTTCACTTTATCAGTCTCAAATCTCAGTCGCCATGTACGTCGAAACGGAGGTGTTTTTTTTTAAGTAGATGGTTGAGATCTACATGTTAAAAGCCAGTTGATTAAAAAAGCACGGTTTTAAGTATGACCCTTCTTTGTACAAGATTGGATATTGTATCCTCGAAAAACTAGACTATTGAATTGTTGATATAATTTATGCTTTTTATTTTATTTATAGACTGCAGGTTTCGAGGAAACCTACAGTACAAGGGTTAAAAAACGTTGAAGTCATTCGAGTAGAAGAAGAAATGCATCTGTTTCAGTGTTACGAGAGACTATATGCAACCCTCTATAGTGCAATCATGAGTTGTCGTACTACCGTCTTCTTTTGTGTTGTATCATCGTGTACGTTCGCGAGATACGAGAAATCATCAAGGCCTATGCTGTGCTTAGATGGATTTTTATTAAATTTCTGATCGAACGATAGATACTTCCGTAGCGCGCGACGTCTCGACGCGATCGGGCGTCGCGTGCGTCGTAGATTAGTACTCAGGATGCGAGGGAAGAAACATAGTATATTTTGTTGACAGAGATGACACCGCGTGTCCTGAATATTTTTGTTGATGTAAAATCGGGGACGATGGTCCACTTCTGAGCGAAAGAGAATGAGAGAGAAAGAGCAAATGAAACTGATCTAGTCAGTGTATTATCGTGGCGGCCTTATCTTTTATATGTCGTAGCGCTAATAACTTAAGTGTTCCAAGGAAAGTGAACAGAAGAGAGAAGTGAGAGAGGCGAGGACACCAGTTCTGAATAACTGCTGTTGTGGCTCGTTAAGATACCGAGACGATCAGAAACGATGTTTCAGGAATGTTGTTTGGGTTGATGGAGAAGGGAAACGGAACTCTGTATGTACATGGGTAATCTATAGTGAGTGCGTGGTTGTCTGTGCGTGTGTTTGGAACTATACGGAGAGAATGTCGCGTGTGTTCTTTAGTTGCTTCCTCGAGATCGTGCCACTGTTACGTGTACGGTTGGTGGACAAGATACAGCGGCTTCGTAAAATTTTATTGAGTGACTTCAGAAGTATCTTTCCAACCTTTGGACTCTCTTTAGGGTAATATGGGACGATCAAGTCTTGGATCAGAACGGAAATTTAATTTCAGTTTACATTAAAAATTAGTGTCCCTAACACAGAATACCTGTGTACTGATCTGTATCCGGGCCGGGTGCAGTGTGAGGCCTGCTGAGGCTTTGTCGCTTCAGTAGATGCTGGGTATCTAGGGGCTAATTTTACGAATTGGTTGTAACTTATCTAACAACTGTAAAATTATGCGACAGAAAATATTGGCGATTCAAAACTACTGTACAGTTATCTCTACTGATTCAGTAGCTTATTAAACTCCCGCCTGACATCTTCACGCTCAACTCTTTGTGATTGAGCGGTAGTAAGAGCAAGCCAATCGGCATATCACTTTTTTCTCTCGTGTGAAAGGTAGTAGACAGAACAGTGATCCTCGAGTTATCAATATTTTCTGCGTAGACTTTAGCTTTACCGACTTAAAGTGTTAGTGTACCAATGGAGGATCGAACTCGATGCAGCACATGGGACATATTGCTTTTTAGTTACACGGTGTTACTCTGGTACGGTATTCTCGAAGCAGCTCCTATCAAGCGTTAAAATTGTCTTCCTGATCCTGAGTTTTCTTTCAGTTTTGTCGGTTGTTTTTTCATTAGCCAAGCAATGGGATCTTAACCTACAATAAATCTAATAGTACAGCATTTTCTGGCTGCAAGTTCACGGTCTGGGAACTGTAGAGCTTCTAGCAAGGTAAGAGAAAATGGTACTGAAGAGACAACAATACATATTGTAGCGGTGACTGTAGAAGATAGACTGAATTTGTAACAAGAAAATACTGTATAGCGTGGGAAGCTACTTTAGTGTATCATTCTTCGCCTGTAGCCGAAAGGATACCGTGCCAGCGTAGCAGACGATATCGAGGACAATTTAGGTAGCTACCACTTCGCGCGTCAGCGTCAATCGTTTCATCGCCCAGGTTGCGGAACGAGTCGAACCAAATTTCTACTAGAATAGGCCACTATACCTTTTTACTTGTCAGAGTTCGTTCACGGGTTCTACTTGATAAGACTGCGTGTTTGTTAAATATGTATGTAAGTAGTAAGTCCTTGATAGTTCGCAGTCCCTTCTTCCTTGCCTAACGGAATGCACCGTCGACCAGAATTCAACATTTTCTTTTTTCTCACTCCTGTCGGATCGATGCAGCGGTATGACACTTTTGCAGAGTATTTATTTTCAAAACGAATCTGGGAACAACCGGTAGCTGACCGAAAGACGCCTTCAAGGTTCACTTCGAACAGCTGTGTTTTAACAAGCCGTCACGCTTAACTGACACAAATGTATCCATCATGTTTGCATCGATCCTCGACGACACAAGAACACGATGCGTTCTGTTTCGACGCGTCAATCGGTACCTGAAGAAACGTAGAAGCAAGGACTGCTAATGGGTTTTATTTTTAATAGTCGCGGACATATCAGGAGTGAGCATATCCTGAAAAAACTTTGTTGCTCGTGAAAGATAATCGTCGAGTGAAACGAAAGTGAGAAAGGATGAGAACGAGAGAATAAGAGGAAAGAAAACGTAAAGACTGCGAGATACGGAGAGAGTGAGAGAATGATACGTAGTGTAACTGGGTAAAAAGTACATCGGACTTGTAAGACCGAAAGGCGCATTTTTCTTCTTAAAGAGGGTTATTTATTTTAAGTAAAAACAGGTATATTATAGGTACACACCGTTTAGAAGTCCACTTAAATCGTCTCTTCCAATACGTTTTTGACTATCGTTCGCGTGGCTCGTAATGAACGCCGCCGGACACTAGCTGTACATATTATTACGCGAACGAAAAGCTATAATACTATTTCAGCGAAACTAACTCGCGATTTCCAAGATCGGGTGGTTCTATATACAAAGGGTCAAGACGCAGCGGTATTTCCGCTGTCGACGATCGTCCGTTCGAGAACATAAATAAAGGACAAGAAACGCGATTTTGGGGTACACAGAGAGATGTGACGATGGTACTGAGGATAATAACAATTCTAATAACTAAGAATTAATATAACGAACGAGAAGAAAAGATTTCAGCGAAGCTATATATTATATTATATATTATATATATATTGTAAAAAAATTGTTATATACAAAAATAAAGTTAAGGCTCCAATTTTTACCAAATATCTTTACAGCCTTCTTCAGTAAAGCCATTTAACGTCTCCGGCGACCGATACTACGTAATCGGACAACATTGGACGGTATTCGATAAATTATAACACGGATTTCGTGCAAATCCAACAATAAATCAACATTTATAATAAATGGATAAACTTTGAGGAAGTTCGATACTTGCCGAGGGCAACTTTAATTGACCAGAACAATACAAACGACAATAATATCAGTATTCAATTGTTCGGCAGAAATGACAAGGATAAAGTAAAAAAGTTTGTCATGCTTGTAAATCAACTAAATAACCACAAACGGCAACAAAATAGATGTTACCACTAACATTAACGAAAAGTCCGAGTGAACTCGGGTCAATTAAGGTTAGATCCAGCAATTATTCTATGACCAACGATGCTTCAATGCACAACAAAAGTCATTCGATAAATAAGTCTTCAAATACATGTTAAAGTCCAGTTCCTCATCGTTCTCTCTCGATGGGGACGTGAGGCCTCCCAAAGTCCTCTTCCGGTATCAGAGGTATGTATCTAGTCCTGGGATCTTTCTTCCTCTCATAAGCGTAAGGAAAGATCATGCTTCTCCTCGTGGAGCTTCTCACCTCACCTTTACCTTCTTTCGTTGTAGGAATCCTCTGAATATTCGAGTCCGTCGGTGCGGTCGAACGAGATTCCGTCACGTCGTTGGAATTCGTCGATGGCTGTTCCTTCGTTTCTGGCTTAACCAGAGGTATGTACTTCCTTTCTTCATTCGCTGACGTAACAGCATCGTTCGAATTACCTTCGGAATTTCTTACTGTTTCAGACTCCATTCGATCGTGGACCAGTTGAATCTTATCAGACACAGTGGAGATCGAAGATATTTCGCTGGAGACGTTGCTCGCACCTTCGGTCAGTTGAACCTCGTTCTTCGATGTGATAGGCACCCAATCGTTGTCTGGTTTCACGCTACTGTTCTCTACGTTATCGTCTGTCTCTATGGACCAACTGTAATTAGCATTCTCCCAGTTCAAAGACCTGGACACGTTGAATTCGTTCCGGGAAACGGTGTTCAGGGTCGAAGAGGGATTTATGAGTACCCACTTGTCGCCTCCCAGCCCGCTATTCGATCTACGAGTCTGCGCGTCTGTCGTGTTCGAACCAACGATCGCAGGTACTTCAACCGATGTGCTATCAGAAAGGTCTTCGTTCGCTACTTCGGAGACAGGCTCAACCATACTACTTTCATTATCTTGATCGTAGCTAGCGTTCGATTCCGATCCTTCGGTTTCTCTGATCTCCTCCGAGGCAATGTCTCCCAGTGGTGGGAAGTACTTGGGTTCCTCGTATCGGGATCCAGCCACGAAGCTCGGACTGTACTGAGAAATCAGAGGGAGAAGGGTCTGCCTCGCGTATCTTTCAGCCTGCGCCAGGATTCCCGCCAATCTTTCCGGTAGAAACTGTACGGTAAAGGACCTTGTAGTCGATGACGTCTCCTGTATCTCGTCCTTTTGCTTTTCACGAGGGTGGACCTCGTTTCTGCTGTTCTGTCTCGCGGAACGGGGTCTGAGAATAGGCTCCATTATCTCTGGAAGTTTCAGAGATCTTCCGGTTTCTTTCTTGTTCGCCTGGAGGACAGGTTCTCTGATCTCTGGCAAAATATCCGTCGTCGCCTCCACCGAGGACTCCGGGGACGGAGATTTCACGATGAAATTCCTACCAGAAAATCCTCTGCCCTGTTCAGAATCCGAATTCTCTAACGAATTCGAGTCCCCGTCACCGGATATGTCCAAGATGTTCCAAGGATTCGACGTACTACGACGATTTCCAGGATCCTCGAAGCTATTTGGCTTGAAGCTTTCTGTCCTCTCGATTATTCGCAGATTCTGCTCCTTGGTAAACGGTCCCAGGCCCCTCGACGAGGACGAGGATGATGTTCTTTCATTCGAGAACGTTTCCACCGGGGACGTAGAGTCTTGGGTCTCATAATTTTGCTCTTTGGTGAACGGACCGATGCCACCTTGTTTCTCTTGAACAAGACGTTCCAAGACCGGAGACGTCGAATTGTCCGATTCCGTGGGCACGTTACACTCGCCAGGGAAAAGAGGAAGGTACACAGATTTCCCGGATTCTAGGCTCAAGCTTTTTCTGCAGACAGAAAGAGACTTGCCGAAGCTGTCGATGATGACAACTTTGTCGATGCTCCATGACACTAAGCCAGAGGAGATCCAGCCGCTGTACGCGGTGTACTTGACCTGCAAAATAAACGACATGAACTATAATAAAACATGCTTTCAACAGTCGAAGACAAACTAGAAATTTCACCTTATTGAAATTTCTATTTCATCGTGTACGTGTACAGATACTCACCTCGATGGCCTCCAAACTCGAAATCGCAGGATGCGGTACAATAATCTTCTGAAGAACCGCGCCCACCAGAAGTTCTTCGTCCTTGCGTGTCATCGCAAAGGTGTCGTTGAATGCGCCATCTCCGACCAGAGTCACTTGCAGCTTCCCGTAACTTCTGGTTGGCCTTTCGCTGTGACTATTGTAGACTTTCACCTGGAACTGATGAGCACAAAATGGTTCCTCGTCCCTGGTAACCAAGTAGAGCTGCCCTCTTGCCGGCGACTCGTCGCTGTAGTAGCCCATGTCACCGCATGGTCTGCCGATTCCGTTCATTCCGCAGGGGAAACAGTCGCCTTTGAGCAGACCGTCGTAGCCTCGTTCGCAGGAAAACGCCGGGAATCGACACTTCGGGCTGACCGAATCCGTGAACAATTTGTAAGCTCTTCGATGGTTGCAGAGGGATCTGCCTTCCACTGCGCTCGCTGCAACGGGAAACGTGTTCAGGTGTGTTTCGAATGAAAACGAGACTTTGTCGAGGGCTCGGATGGAAATATATCGCAACAATCTACGGATGATATTTCACAGGACACTGGTGACCCGCTTTCTTTCGGAAAAAGAATTCGATCCATATAGCGGATACGGTAACATTATAATACGCGTGAAAATCTTGCGGCAAGCTTTCTAATCCTTGCTCTGTAGATATCTCCAGATCGGGCTTCGTAAATGAACAATGGCGATGGGATGAATCGAGGGAGATGCAAGTCTTTTGTTGTTCGGTCGAGAATTTTCAATGAACATTTTCCCGAATGGAAACAAGATACCCTGTATACTTACACCAGATGATGTCGGACACAGCGCCTAGAAACAGATTAGAGCAGCCGGTTTGCATTCTGCCACCGTTTGGATAAAAGTCCACGTCGCCCATTGGCTGCCAGGAACCGAGACCACCCAGCAGCAATTGTTCGCCGTTGCTGTGAATCACGTCGACGAAATTCGCGTCCGTTTCGTCGAGACGGACCCTCGGATCTTGTGACTCGAATAGAGGTCCCGCTGGGTCCAGTCCTGTTAAATTTATCGGTTTTCAATCAGTTTGACTAATATATAAGTGAAAAACAAAAAAAGGGATCAGCTTGAAAAGAAAAATACGATGGGAAGAGGTTTACTGAATCGAACGCCGATTTTCTATTCGATGTTCGATTAAATGACCGCGCGTACATCGGCCTTCGCATATCTTCGTCTGTGGAAATGCCTCGTCGCCGAACTCGTAAACATGCGCTCGAAGATCGCTGAAGCGTATCGACGTAAAAAGTGGAAGTTTCCATACTGCCAGTCAGTTGTGCAGTTCCGATATTAAATCAAGAGAACTCTGAATACGACTAATTAACGAGAAGAGATGTTCATTAATCCGCGATGCAAGAGGAATCCTAAGGAAATAGATCCCCCTGACTGGGATTATCAAAAGACGAATACAAGTAAACGACGTTCTCCTGTTTGATCGCCGTAACGAAAAGGAGAATTTATTTTTTCGAAAGGTACGAAAAGTCGTTCGCGCGTGACTAGCGAGGAAAATGTAAGAAAGTGACTAGGCTTCAGCAGAAGTCCTCGTTACAATTTCTGGTGAATGGTCGATCGAACGAGAGACCAATCACAGGATCAGATGGTAACGCGATCATTGGTGCAGTCACCGACCACTTCTCCGTTTAATGCTCGCGCCTTCGCTGCAACTCTGTTGAATAATTAAAATCGAGAAACTCGACAGACGTCTGTAAACACGTCTTTTTGCCCCGGTACTTAACCCAATTCTCTATCTACGGTACAGCGAGGATTGCTTAACGATTTCGTAAATTGTAATGTTTACTGCAGGCGACCGACAGTATCGGAACGCTTAGAAAAAAGTTAATCGCTCCCAGTATTAATACACAATTAGAAATGTTGTTCATGCCTAATTGGAGATGCGAACGCAGACGAAACGAGTTCCCTTTTACCTGGCCACGTGCGGGTTTCGAAGGACAACTACGTTTTTAATGGTATCTCCAGCACATTTCGCAACTCGGGTGCAATGACTGCGTCGTGTGGAAATTGGAAATAAAAGGGAGAAGTGTAAGGGTTTGTTAAGGAAGCGTCATGGTACCTGTAATCCTGGAAACGTTGCCCAATTCGGCACCGGCGAACCCGGCCACGTGGGCACCCAGACTGAAACCGATCAGATGTACCTTCTCCAGGGGTACGTTCAAGCTTCTAATTAGTTTCGCTAGCTGTCGCCCGACAAGACGTGTGTTGGCAGCTGCTCTTACGTAGTTAGGAACTGCGCTTCCGGGACCCCAGTCGACGCACACTGCAAACGAACATAATGAGAGGGACTGCTGAAGAGCAAGGATGGTTCTTTAACGTAACGTAAGAGAAAAGGATTCGGCCGATCGTATAGCGGATCAGGAATCGAACCTAGGATCTTTCGCTAGACAGGCGATTGCTTTCACTACTAACAAGTTGAGCTTCGGTACACTGAAGATGCCGATCTTTTTTAAACTCGGCATATTTGTGGGAAACCTCATTATTGTTTTTGCTGACATTAGGTCTTGAAAACTATAGCAGATGTAAGAAAACTCATAGAATGAAAATTTAATTGCTTCTTATGGTCTATAAAAGTGTGTAATGAAATTATTAAAAATTTGTTTTTAAAGTACATGAATAATCCAATTTTAACAATTTGATTCCACGCTTATTAGAGCGTAAGATGCCATTAAGTTTTCATTACAATAGCTTCGTAATTGGTGATGTCATTTTGAGTAGATACGAACCTATATTGCATTCGTGTACGGTCATTAGCGCGGATCTCATCTCGTAAACCCAGACGTGATCGCAACTGGACCCGAATCCATGGACGATCACCTTGGTGGGTAGTTCCGGATCTATGGCACGGTGCGCGTTATCGTTTATGTCGTCGGCAGGAACTTCCATTGGGATCGATCTCGCCTTCCTGCTTCCGTATACTAAAAACCTGATATCCGATTGAACAATTTACAACTTTAATTACGCTTTGTACGCTTCGACGACTAAAGTGTGAAAAACAGAAATTATAGCGTGTCAGGCTAAACATGTTCATTAAGGAACTACTTGAAAACTGATCAAACTACGGTTACACTGCAATAGTGTTTCCAGCTGCAAATTACGAGGTACCTTGACGGTAATCTTGTAACAATTAATCTACCGATAAAAATCTGTCTCTTAATAAAAAAAAATGCAATAATCCGTCGTATTCTTTCAATATGGTTTTCAGTATAATCGCACGCAAAGTAACGGGAAGAATTGATCGGATGCTAAGAAGAAGCATATACTTCGCTGTGAGTTAAAAAAGATTGCATTCGCGTGTTGCACGCGCATCATCATGAAAAGTAACAACGTTAATTTTAGTCAATAAAGATTATTGTCTAGGTACCTAGTGCCGACGTCTTTGGGCGGCGACGGTAACATCTCCAAGTAGCTGAACGGTCCTGTGTCCTCGAAGCAGCCGACATCCTCGTAGCAGACCTTCGAGACATCCCTCTTCGCCCTGTGATTCAGTTTCTTGTGCAACGTCCACTCTTTCATCGATTCGACGACCGCCCGAAAAATTTCTGCATCGTTCTTCTCGTCCGCGGATTCGTCGAGGGGCGTCGGCCACCCCTGCGCCACCGCGGGATCTCCTGAAAAATGATAAATTTATGCTAACTTCGAATTTTTAGAATATTTTGATTACTCGAAAGGAAGTTGAATCTCCATCTTGAAAATGAGCCACTAATTTATAAAATCATATCGAAGCAAATTTGGACATATGGGATTTACAGACGTGAGCCACATATGTAACTACACTGGAAACATTTAAATCCATAACCCCACGGATGATAGTCAACGCACCATGGTACGTAAGAAACTCAGATATAATAAAAGACTTATCTTTAACCGATGATATATATATAATAACTAGACTGCTAGAAGTTTGTAAGTTTTTTTCCAAGAACTTCTACATGCACGGTGCACCGTAAGGCGTCGAGCGACCTCGTTTTCGAGCATCGCACAATTCGAAGAGCCAATAAGCCAGCTTCCGTTCATTAGAACGTCCAGGTGAATTTACCCGGACCAGTTCACCTGCTGGAACAGCCATTCGTGCATCGCTGAGCGCAGCTCTCGAGGATCGTGTCCCGTCGAGCGATAAAGCGTCGTTCGACCAATTGATCCTCTAATTGTTCGGAACACCGTACAGAGCCAGTCGAAGTTCAGAATCCCGGCAGTGGCTGCACGCATCGCGGACCAGATTGATAGATTCGTGCGAATCTTTTTGTAACGGTTTCCTCGGCTCGTTGCACTGTTATTACCATAACGCCTGAATAACAATCTTCTGGAACGCGAAGACCATCCTTTATTTCCCACTTCCCTGTTCTTTCTGGGAACCATTGGCAAGCAAGTCCTATCGATACAGTAGGACACAGGGGATAATGTATAAGAGTTGGATGCAATTCTATTCAAAGAAGACAATTAACCTGACTGAACAGTTGTTTGGAGACGAGTCCAGTCAATCGAACGGAAACGTGATATTTTCAAACCTGTAATTCTCATGTTTCGGATGTATAGAAACTCCACGTTGGTGCTTCAAGAAAGTATTATTGGTGCCTAATGGCAGATTCATTGGTAATAGGAAAGTCACAGTTTGTAATATGAATCTATAATGTCTTGGGCGTTGGAGGGAAACACAGGAAGTGCTGAACTAATTTAATGTTTAGGTCCAAGACGCTTTTCACTTCATGTTTCTATCAATTTTAAAGTATAAGGACTACAGCTGTGGAATTTACGACCAGGCCACGTCTTCGACCAACAATAGAACTCTCGACGGTAAACCAAGTCTGATTCTTCCGTTCTCACGACTTTGTAACGAAATACGGGAGGAGGCGGGGTCTCGTGGACCAGAAACTCAACGTTCGAAACGTTCGCCAAGTTTTATGCGAGTATCGGATACATCGATTGAAACCTGTCCACTGGTGCACGCAGCACCCACAGACGCGTCTGCCAGGAGACGATAGTCGTGAGAAGGGAAAGTTAAGATTATCGATACGTAGATCTTGTCCGCCTGCCGCTAGAAAATCACGGGGAAACGTCGCGCGATCGTTCGTGCGACGAACAGCTGCTTGGAACACGCGTCTCGCGAGCCGTGCAACCTGTAATTAGCCTTAATCAAATCGCTAATCGAGTTTCCTGGGGACCTTTAACCCTTTTAAATGCAAATGATCCACCGTCACGTTCGTGGTTTCATTTGTGAAATTACCAATGGTACTCTTTGTAATTGCACAATGGCGGCTGTGGTAACAATTAATTGTTATAATGTACATACTGGATCCTGTCGTTTTAATGTCGACACTCATTGTACACATCCAATAACCCAAGAAGGCCAGACCTGCTTCAGGTATAAGTAAAGCAGAACATTTCATTTACTAAGAACAGTAAAAAACAACGTCATCCCCTCATGTACAGGAGAAACGAGTGAAGAGTACAAAAAAAGTATTTCACTTTAATCGAATCAATCACCATCCTTCATTTCATCGTAGGTGATCGATCATTTCCATTAACACCAAATCAACAAGAAGTTAAGAAAGTACGTGTAATCGTTACTGATATCAAATAACACCGGTGTCTTTATCAGGTGTTAACGCGTCTAAAGTCTTCTCCAGTTCGATCCGTCTTTACTCGAGCAAGAAACCACAACAAGAGGAACGTAATCGGTGAACAGGAGCGACCAGTAGCGATTATCGATCCGCAATATCGTTCGATCAATCGGAGACGTTCCGTTTCCTTTCCAGATCAAGGTGGCAGGTGTACGTGGAAAATCCTTGGTACCTGTCGCCGCGAGATTGCGGGTCGAGGAGTCACGGATCGAGACCGCGACCATCTCCTGAACTTACGACCTAGATCCGTCGCCGGAAAGAAAACTCGAAAGGTAAAAGAATCGCGTTATCTGGAAGAGTGCGTGTCTACGGAACGGGTTCTCGCGGCTGTTCCGCAAGAACGAAGGGAAACTGGAGTTGTAACACAGCGGTTGAATAAACAAACGCTGCCCCGTATTGAGACCAGTTGATGGGAACCGATCGAGAAACTCCGAAATGATCGTACAGTACTTCGTTTCAGTTCCCATTTCTCTATTCTCGTTTGAAAACTGAAAATTACCGTGTACTACGACAACGTTAAATTTTCGCCAGGATGGCACACGAAGAAGAAATGCTATTACTTCTTCAACATCTGTCGAAATGATCTGCTATTAGTCTAATCAGAGATATGACCCTTGTGAACATTGGTCATATTTTTTCCAAAAATGGCAATACCTGTTCAGAAGCTCCAAGAAGTCGATGTATTGTCTAAAGTATCGATAGATGTAAAACAGCAAAGAGAATCGGTCGAGGAAAGTCTCGATATCGGGTTGCGGGCCAACCGAGATAAGAAAGAGAAACTCTTTTTGTTGGCCACGCGCGGCAGTCAATTAACTCGTTAGAGATCGGTACGAAGCGGAGAACGAGCGGAGGCGGCATAATCGGCGGCGACAGGCTGCGGATTGGCAGTTTCGCGGATGAACCGACTAGACCAGTCTGTCTAGAGTGAAATTCGGAAAAAGAAAGCCAGAAACTGCCGGAGGATCGTCCGTTAATGGTCAGCGCAAGCTGATGCGAGCGGTTCGAGTTCCTCGAGTTTTTGTTCGTCCGATGGCCGACTGGCAAAAAGAGCGTGGTCTCGAAACAGGGAGAGGAGTGGAAAAGGGAAATCAGAAGAGTTGAAATCAGGACTGTTGGCCAGACACCTGTTTTGCTCTTTTCGCGACTCGTATAGCATCCTTTAACACGTTGGGACTGCCACAGTGAAAAAGGCCGTACGTACCCAGACACGGTTTGCTTCGTTTTTCATGTCATAAATCGTCGAAAGTATATGCGTTCTGTTAATAGAGACTGGTGGGTTTTGTTTTAAATTATACTGCGATATTAATTTTACGAACAAATTTTGTAACGGTATTTAAATAATCCAGTCTCTTTGCAATGTACGTGTTACCTATATTTAGGTGTCGTGACACTCGAAGTGTTAACACGTCAGTGCATACGTCAAGATAGCGAATGCTATATTATTAACACTTGAAACATTCCTTATAAGTAGACTGCGGATTTTTATGCAAAATTAAAGTTTTTAAAGTAATTTATAAAGACAGGAGCAATCATAGAAATTTATTTTTTCTCTTAAGTATCTTATTGCATAAAATAGAGAACTCGTTGGATCTGATGAATGTTTTGTTTTTTATTGTATTTCACAGAGCCCTATAAGCTATAAACGCATAAAACCCGCAGTCTACTTATAAACTATAGTATAAGACGTTAGAAATGGGATTTCAGGCACGGTTGAAGAACATTCACAGACCTTAAATGCTCTAAAATATAAGGATGAACGTGTTAAGGTAGTCCAAGAGTTTCCAGGAACGAAACGTCAACGAAGAAACCAGAGATCCAAGTCCCGCAGGGCTCGGTCCGCTCTGTGTCAAGGTTCCCCTAGCGACGACGTGCGAGCCTGACCGTTTTACGCACCGTCAATGATAATTAATACGTGCACAGCCGAGCAGGCGGATCGATGTGTACGTTAGCGACATCGAACGGAAACCCGTGCCCGATGATTTCTCGATTCTTCGATGATTTCGACGACGGTTCTTGGGCAAACGCGGCGAAACCTAGCAATCACACCTGTGCTGGTTGTGACACCGGAGGACCTCGAGCGAAACTGCTCCCTCGGAATGAATGATGGTACGTGACTTTCCGTTAATTGTTGCTTTTGCTTCCTCGATGAAATGCTTCGTATTAACGTGTGCGTTCGTTCCTTTCGATCAAACACCACGTGAATAACTAATGGACATATTACTCTCGATGCCTTGGTCAAACATCGATGCAAGTAGACGAAAATAGTGTACACACAGGTCTTTTATTGGAAACAGGTTTAACGAAACGAAATCTGTAATAATAATCATTATTGATGTGACTTTATTACGCGAAACATAAAACAGATTTACCGTTGACGTAGAAAACCAGAACTCAACTTATCCTAAATTCGAAGATAAGGTAATGGAATTTTGTATGACATAATTTAAGGAAAATGATGTGGTTTACCCATCGAATGTTTATTCCAAGCTTTCAAACGTCTATCCTTTTATCACTGTGTAACTCCCAGTATTATGTCTTTCGCTTTCAAATCCGCAAACCACAGACCCAAACGCGCTTCTAATTTTACAGACGATTACCCGAACTTCTCTAATAACGTTGATAGCAGTTTCAAAACGTTATGTATATTTCTTTTCGGTGACCGCATCATAATTTGCATATTAGCCCGTTACAGTTACCGTTAGAAAGTGCATGGAAGAGGGAAGGAACCTCATCTCACAACGTAAATTTGCATTATGCGATCGACCGATACGAATATATGTACGTACTCGGATAGAGACGCGTGAAGTAACTGGCCAGACGTTAGCCGACATTTAAAATTGAAAAATAACGGACCGCCTTGACAGAGTTTGCGAAATCCATTAATTAGTCAGGAGAGTCGTGTTCTCACTTGCGGTCCATATATCCTGGGCGCGACAGTCAAATTATATAGAAATTGTGGAATAATGGTCGACAATGTGGCGCGACGGCAA